GATATTTAGACAATAGTCGAATTGTATTTATTCAGAGTTCACTAGTTCTTTTGAGATATGTGAAGCACAGACTACTAGTGCAGAGTCTTGACCGAGAGCCTTCATCTGGGATGGGGTGTCCAGTAAAACTAACCAACGTCCAGGACTCACGAAACATGTTATTTTAAGGATTTATTTACCCCTACAAACGGATTTTTCTATTGACTAGTAACCAAATTTTTATCAATCTGTCCACTTGGTTTAATTTAGATTTGATTGCGAAATTTTGCTAAACAACTCTGTGGGCTTGGAAGCTTAGTAGTACTATTCGTCTGGGTATTATTATTATTATTCACAAACGGCTGATTGGTGCACTAGCGCCAAAAGGACTTGACTTCGCGTTTCCTCAAAAATGCAGTTATACACAAGTCTCAATAATGTTTACACAATATTTTTTATACTTGAACAGGTTTTGTGGCATTTGGAAAAATATTGAGTCCACTATAAAGAAACAAGACGGTAAAGAGAAATGGGGTGTATACGCAATTTATTAAATGTGTTTGTGGAACCGAAAAGGAATGAATGGCAATATATTTATTGGAAAAATAATTAGGAAAAAATAACTAATGTGGCGAAATGATAGACGACGGGTGAATGGAAGTTAATGCAGTAAAAGTTTATGGTGATGTGATGGAGTGGTAATTAATAGAAGAGGAAGATCGTCAAATATCAATTTGTACGTGATGAAAATACAATGAATCTGAATAGTCGATTTATTCCAGTAAACGTAGTACAAGTTATTGTGTTTTTAATTAGAAACTCTGGAGCAGTGCGAGGAAATTTTATGCACAAGGATAAAGGAGAGTTCATTCAGTACTATTGTAGTGAACGAGAACACCAGTGGGGACGACTGAATGTATTCGAATACAAAATTATAGAACATCTAAGTAAAATCTGAGAACTATACAGTAAATTCTTCATTTACTAATGTCAATCAATTGTCTCAAACTTCATTGTTCCTTCGTTTCCGCACCCATCAATCTCTTCACTGCGATCTTTTTAACATTCTGATGCCAGGCGTTTCACTTTCGATTGATGATACATACCAATTTTATCTGTCGACATCAATAGCACAGACCACAGCACAACCTTCTTTAGTACCTCCACTATTGTATAACCCCGTGTGTAGATGTATGTAAATTTCCAAGCTGACCATCTAAAAGAATCGACGCGTTTATGCTCAAACTGTCTAACGAACGTCCAGCCCTGTCTCCGTCGGTTAATAGATACATCTTGGTATGTATGGATGTAAGTGCTCATCAGAACCAATAAGGTCAGATGTTTATGAAGCCGTTAATTTCAAAAGGTTCCATTAAGCCAGATCGCGACTATTTGGCTCATGTTGGTTCATTACAGCTTTATTATTACGAAGATTGTATGAACTTAGCCTAAAGGATTTTCACCTCATTTGTAGAACGAAGATGTAACAATATGGTAATCTGACTTTCTATACACAAGAACTTGTCATCAAACATGTTATGTAAAAACGTTGTTACGTTTTATGAAGTCTTGGAACAGTGCCTAAATAATAAGAAACGAGTGGAAAGAAGTCAACCTGTCTATACGGGCTACGGATAAATGTTAAAAACTTCACGATAGTTTGGGAAAACTTAAATAGGAAGTTAAAATTTGAACAGCTAATGGTTGCACGATCTGCTTGTGGAAGGGGCACAAAAAAGCCAACCCATCCAAGGCTCATGTGAACCCTACCGAAGCTGCTGACGAAAAGGAGGTTCTGTTAACCATCCACTTGATAAAAATTGAAGGGGATACGAGAATACTGTCTGACATTTAGAATGCAATAAGATCGGTAGCATCTAGAAGAAACCTCACGAGTCGTTCTTTCGAGGAAGAAGTATCATTCTGTTACGTACCCCAGTATACATTGACCCCGATTGTGCTTTCTACGATGTCGAAGACTAGAAGTTTACAAAACGTTTCTTGGAGCTTCAAAGTGAGTTAGCTCGACGCGTCTTACTACTGACCATGAGGAACAGAGATTCTGAATCTCGGGTAATAAAAATAACCTTTTCTTCACTTTTAGTGTCGGCTGAAATTCGTGAAGCATTTCGTGTTAACAGACGCTGGTTATCAACTGGAAGCCGTATGGTTACGGACAAGTCATATAATACTGGGAATATGGGCAGACCAAACCGGAAGTTTCCATTCCACTTGTGAACTGTCAAGGAAAAGAAGAAACATAAAACGGGAAAGAGCCTTCCATTCGAAAAACCGTGTTTGAATAGTTTTGCTGCCAATTCATATAAGGCTCATTCAGACAGGACAAGGACATGAGTGCATTTCGTCTCGAAAGTACCAACTACATACGCGCTAACACTGCGAGTTCACCATATAAAATGAATGAGTTTTTTTAATTTGGTAATACTGATAAAACTCGTGTGACAGTAATATACGAAATGAAGGCATCTCACGGAATCACGAGTCGGAGTCTGAGAGCGTTCAGCATATCTTTGCTTTATAACAAAATAAAACTTGAAATGGGAGGTGGAGAATCCCTGTATTTATGTACTTGCTAGCCCATTAAGTGTGCGTTCAAAAGTTTACCAATCTTGATGAATCTCCATGGTGCTGTTATGACCTTGAATCGCTTTTACCTCGTGATACTTGTTATGACTTCACCTTGATCTGTCTAGACTAAACTATGACCTTGACGCGCTAGGCTGAGTGGCTTAACCTTGAGTCTAATACGCGTGAGTTCGATTGGGGTAGAGAGAACTATTCTAAATCCTGATTGGTTGGCAAGCACGCGAGTGAAAGAAGACAAGACATTTGGAACACTGAACTCTGGATTCTCTGAATTCTGAATTACTACAAAAATGTACATGAATAAATAAGTGCATATCTTGACCACGACGTACGATAATTTGGAAAAATACAGTTATGCCCGAAACAGGGAATTAGGGTAGAAAATATAGTGCAAAATATAATGTTTAAATTACAATATTTTTGGAACAAAAAAGGGTATGCTAGTGAATGATACATAGAACGAAAGCTCGTGTTATGTAGAATAAGATAGGGACAAAAATAAATATAAGTGTTTTACAGGTTTTGAATGAAATGCAATAACGTCCCAAGAAAATAGCTTTCGTAATTGTCTGGGCTTCTTAATTCCCCGTTCATAACAGGTGCTTTGCGAGATTGTCTAACATTACAAATGTCCTGTTGAATATATCTGCGTAATGTGTACTGCTTACATCAAGTACAACAATTCAATCTTCCTGAAGTTAATTTTGCTGAACACACAATGAAGGTGACAATCGTACTGTAGATCGGTTTTCCAACTTCGCTCAAGAATTGGAATTATTCGGATGTGTGAAAATAGCAATTCAAGTGTGAAACTGTCAGACACCGTCATGCGTAGAGAGCATCTTCAAAAACGGGGAATCCGTAATTGACAACTTCTATATCCTGTAGCCTCTGAGAATAGCGATCGCGCGGAAAGAGAGAAGTCTCAGAAGTAAATCTAAGCGTTGGGATGGTATATCAGAAAGCACAGTATTTAAACAAGTACACTTATCCTGGCTCGGATATAGTTTACTCTTCTATACTGAAAGGAGTGGCTGCAATCTTGAAAATACCACTTGGTATGACGTTCTCACTTTCGCCAAGGCAAGGCACGTTTGCAAACAGTTGGGAGCAGACACAACTCACACAAATTTTTAACACAAATAAACCGTGACTTTATCGGTCAGAAGTATTTCCTTCAATACCCTCAAAAGTTATGAAGTATTGGATATATGACGGTTTTTGCAGTCACTTGTTGTCCATATACTTTTTTCACCACAGGAACGCGGTCTCAAGAAAATCTATTCTCTGATAACCAACATGTTAAATGTGATAGATAGATGGCCAACCATCCTTGATCACAAGGAAAGGTTGATGTGATATACACTAATTTCCCAAAAACTCTTGATAAGATCATTCAATATCCTCGAACTATTATGTGTCAAATCATCGTCAAGAAAATGTTTATTTAGTTTCTGAATGATCGGCTTTTTAGGGTCAGGGCAAAATTTTCCTCTTCTCGGGCAAGTGAATGTCTTGACGGCGTTCTTCTTGTTCAGCGCTAAGACCTCTCATTTTATTTATGTGAATGAATTTCCTCAGTAAGTATCGGCTGAATTATTGCTCTCCACTGATGACGTCGAATTTCGAAGAGAAGTTTGCAACCCAAATGACTGGTTGTCTGACACTTCAGAAAGCCCAGTTTGACTTGAAAGTTGGAAGGATAACAATGGATTAACCTTCAACACTTCAAGGTCCGAAGTAGTTCATCTGAGTCATTACAGACTGTGACTACAACTTAGGTAACTTCTCTTCAGGAGTATTTCAATTTAAAAAGAACCTGAAAGTCTTGATAATCTACTGTCCAATCTCTTGCGCTTTCTGTGACAAAAATGCCTTTCAAACAAACCTTGCACTTTCAAAGTTGAAGTGTGTTTTGGCAAGTTTGACTGTAAGATTTCCAACCTAATCTTCAACAATTTTGATCGTCCTCATTTAGGGTAAGGAAAGATAGTGCCTCTTTCCCCTAATAAAAATGATAATAATGCATTAGAGCGAATTTAAAAGCGAGCTGCAGAAGCTCAGTACCAACACAAAGCTTAAGGGTCCAGAAATTAGAGGCTCAATTCTGCAAAACGGACTACAAAAGCACATTCTAATGTGCATCACTTGTGAATTTCTTGTGTTTTTTGCAGTTTCAGGTGGTCGAATGGATCTTCCAGGATTCCTTCATGAGGAAAGTCGACATATTCCTGAGGATTCAGGATAGTAAGTCACTATAACTTACTGATTTATCTCTTTCCATTGTTAAACATAACTGAGCCTCGACCAAGAAGCATCAGTGATCCATCAAAACTAGATAGGAAATGTCGTTGGACGAAAGCTTTTTCTTTCACAACCATCTGAGCCACTCCGTGGTTATTGAACACTGAAAGGACCGTTTTAAGTTGGTACGTTACGTGTGGTCAGGCTTGGTGGGTTTTATCGGACATCGCATGTTTTGTTTAAAAAAATCCTCTGTGATTTGTAAATCTAATTCATACTAAAATATTGTTTCGTACATGTTGTTAATTTCATATTCGAGTCTTTGAAAAAAAATTTATCGTCAGTCATCGCATAAATAATCGTCGACAAGTCGAGGATCCTCAATATGTATTTCAAGTAATAGTTTGTTTCATAACCACATGCTCTGGGAAAACATCTGGACCACCCCTGTAAATTATTTAAATTTTGATCTAATTTGGCTCATAAGGTGATCAGATCATATTGGGTTACTTTTCGACTTTTAAAATGTGGTTGTCCTGTAATGTACTGGTGAACAGCTTTGATATCCTAACTCATTCAACCGATTGGGTAGGAAACAGTAAATGCACGACTTTTTTATTTTGACCAATTGTTATGTTCCCGTCTAAAGCCGAATTTCAAAGCCTGAGACCCTAGCATTATAGATGATATTAGATCGTAATGAAAATGCTAACTTAAACAGCCCATTATTATTTCCTGACATCAGTTTTCAACCCTGTTTTTAATACATGCTTTTTGGGCCTGAGTCTTTACACTCGACATTAGCTTGGGATTATAGCACAGCTCTACTGGCCTGGTTTTGTGTAAAATTATTGTTTCTGCCTCAATTTAACAGAATGAAAATACCTTAAAGCACATTAGAGATAAAGCGTAAGCTCAAATCCAGCCCAAACTTCGGTAATTGTACTAGTTTTATCAACGATTTGGCATTTAATAAAGCAATTTGGAGAAACAGGAATTACGCTTTTTCATCAGTCGTATGTGAAAGTATATTAACGTATTCAATCACCTTAAATGTGTACCGCTTTGTATTTATATTCTACCCATTGTTCGTTTTCTTAACTCTGGTCATCCCTCCTTACCATTATGGTAAATTTTAACGATACACATTTAAGCCTGGTCTTCCTTTATCCTTTCTCATGTTTGTTCGATCTGTTAATCCTTGCGTTGTTTCACCGTCGTAACTCCTGTTAATCTGTTGATAAGATAGTTTCAACTGACGTTTATATAGTTAAAACGGTAAGACGCAAACTAGATCTTGAATTAGTGTGGGGAACTAGAATCAGCATTTACAGTTGAAAGTTAGGGTTAGGAATTGGGGTTTTCATCATGGGATGCCATCAGCTATAATGCCGAAATGCTAGTTTACCTTATATATTAGTGAATTTTGGGTCAAAATCCTTGACTTCGTATCTTTAATCTGATTAGTTTGTACATAATTAGGTTCCTGTCAATAAAACTAATGGGACTTAACAATGATTTTTATCCCCAATAAGGATTTCCTCTGTTGTTCAACTCATACGTTTTTCTAAAGTGCTGCTACTCAATTCTCTAATCTGACATCTATCAGTCGTTAACAAGGTTTTCAGTCCTATTAGAAGTATGTGAACGGTTATCGATTTCCGGTCACATATATTGTTGAATGATTTCGCTTCTTGAACGACCTAAAAGTAAAACTGGACCACAAATAATAATCTGCGAGCTTGACAACAAACTCCAAAAGACAGTTTCTTAAAATGTCGCATGTAACCATTTTGCGAAAGGTTCTTAAAGTTGTGGGTCTGTGCTTTAAAGGACTTACAGCCAGTAAAGTTGGTTTATTTGAACACATTTATACAACCGGGCACAGAGTACATATGCGCCACATATGTCACTTGATTCGTGTATGGGCTGTGGTACTGCCAGGGTGCCCAGGCGGAAGCAGGTGGGTTTCTTAGGGGTCACACCCCAAACCTTCGACCTATAGGTCTAGTCCACAAGGTAGTGGAGCAACGTAAGGAGATGCAGTCCCATGGTAGCCGGTGACCAACAATTGGTTCATACGCCATTTGTTCCCGTAGGATACTGGAGCTCATGTGCACCATTGGTTTGGAATCAGGGTTTTCCAACTCCCCTAGGTAAACTCTACGTGTCCAACAGTCTGGTTAGATCGCCGGACATTCGTTTTTCGTCCTCTCAATTTCGTCAACAACACCGCCACAAGAAGGGAGTGAGTAGGATTTCCTTGACAGTGGCTGCATATTCGTAGCCATTTGAGAGCATTTCGAGAGGGAGAGCTGATTCTCCCCACCTTCAGCATTTGGGGGCAGCCAGTAAAGGGAATTCGTTTGACAGTGTGCCGTATGTTGTTTCTAAAGTCAACCATTTCTACTCTTGTATGAAAGCAACATCTCTAGAGATGCTTGTTGTAGATATCCTACCGCCTTCACGTCTAAGTACAGTTTAGAGTACGTCTTCACCCTCAAACGAGTTGTTACTTTTATTATCGTCCTACAACACTTCGTTGGGATAATACGGCCTAAGAAAACAAATGTCTTCGCCAGTATAGCTCGAATGGGTCACTACGGTATCCAAGCTCGATCACCATATCAAGTTAGCTTTGACTGAAGCCATTCAATGTAAAATACATATCAGTCAGTCAGTCAGTAACAAAGTAGAACTTCGTACGTACGTACATCAGTTCGAGTTGCCATACCACATTAGCACAGAGATGCAGTAGTCGATTCGAATCCCGTAGTGCTAGATGTAGTAAAATTATAAGCTGTAATCAGAAAAATTAGGGTTTGAAGATGTTATTCAAGGACTATAAACCAGTTAAATAAATTTGGAAAGAGAAAAAAGAAAGGGACATGAAGAAATTAGAAGATTATAATTTGGGATAACACAAAGAGTGGATGCACCTGCGCCATTGCAAACGATTTTGAGCCATGTCATTCAAGGTCTCTAACCATCGGTTGCTATCTTCTCACAAATCCCAACCAGGTAGTCTACACCTACCAACATGACTCAGTTCACTTAACAGTGACTTCATGGACTTGTGCCATGTTTTGGTCTGGCCTCCCCTAGCTTCCTTCCAACCTACTCCTATACCACTGAACATCGCTCGTCGAGGCAGTCGGTGGTTGGACATACGTAACACGTGTCCCAGCCATCTCAACTGATGAAGTTTCACTACTTCATCAATTGATTTGCCATCCTTACTTAGTACCCGTTTCCTAACAACTGTGTTACTTACTCGGTGGTCCCAGGATATACGAGCAATGTTTCGAAGACACCTATGATCAAATACTAGTAAACTACGGATATCCTCTACTCTTACCGGCCATGTTTCACTGCCATAAAGTAGGACGGAACGAACTGCTTTGGTTGATAGACGGATATCTCGCCTAAGCCATAAATGACGCAAGTTGGTAAAAGCTAGTCGATCCTTCTGTATCCGTGCTGAGATTTCGTCACACACCAGACCACAAGGGCTGATGAGACTTTCAAGATAAGTGAAGCGATCGACACGCTCAATTACTTCACTCCCTATCATTAGTTCGGGTGTCAATGCAACCCAATCTTGAAGCAAAATTTTGCATTTCGAGGGGAAGAATCGCATCCCGAACATGCTTGCATTGTTGCTTAGAGTGGTCGGAAGACTCTGCATTTTGTCAGTGTCTTCACCAAATAAAACTATGTCATCAGCATGTTCTAAGTCAACAAGTGAATCTCCCGGTAGAAGTTCAACCCCTGGAAATGTAGACGAGGAAAGTGTTATCTCTAAAAGTACGTCGACAACAAAGTTGAACAAGAATGGAGAGAGTAGACAGCCCTGACGAACACCACTTGAGGTAATCAATTCTGATGACAGTTCGCCATAAGCTCTCACTCTACCAGTTGTGTTGGAGTAGAGAGCCTTTATAAGGTTAATGTACTTCTTTGGTACTCCTTTCAGTGACAAGCACTGCCATAGAACCTTACGATCGACAGAGTCGAATGCTGCTTTAAGGTCTCGAAATACTGGGTTTGTGTGGCGTCTGAACGTGTGTCTGTGTTCTAGAACCTGATGTAGTGTGAATATGTGGTCTATACAACCACGTCCAGGTCGAAAACCAGCCTTATTTTTTCTAGTCTGTTCTTCACGAGCTTTGGTTAGGCGTCGAAGTGTTATTGAAGCTAATTGTTTAGAGGACATATACGCACTTAGGATATATACAAAGCGTTTGTTATACTTGTCTATATTATAAGAAGTAATCAAAACGATTGAAAATATCTGAGAGTAAACAAACAGTCAGTCAGTCAGCTACAACGTAGGACCAGGCACATATGTGCATCGGTCCAGGTTGCCATACCGCATCAGCACAACAAGATGAACACCGGATTCATAGCATGTAAGAGAAAGATTGCATATAGAGATATAGTACAAGAAGAAAGAATTGGTTCGTAGAAAGAAAGATATGAAGTGATTTTAATCTCTTAGTTTAAGGGAAGACAGGGAGTGTATACACCGACACCATTGTGATCGATTCTGAGCTATGTCACCAAGAGTCTCCAACCATTGGTTACGATAGTCACGCGGACCCCAACCAAGTAGTCTGCATCTACCAACATGGCTCAGACTAGAAGTTAGTGACTTCAAGCACTGATGCCACGTTTTGGTTTGGCCGCCCCTAACTTTCTTCCAACCATCTCCAACACCGGATAGCATTGCACGTCGTGGTAATCGGTGTTCAGGCATACGTAACACGTGGCCCAACCATCTCAGTCGATGAAGATTCATAACCTCATCAACTGATTTACCATCATTCCCTAATACCCTGCGTCTAACCTCACTATTACTTACCCGGTGATCCCAGCAGATGCCAGCAATATTTCTAAGGCATCTGTGGTCAAATACTAATAGCTTACGAGTGTCTTCTGCTCTTAATGGCCGTGTTTCGCTGCCGTAAATTAAAACAGAACGGACTGCCGCGCAGTATACTCGTCCTTTTATTGATAGACGGATATTTCGCCTTCGCCATAGGTGACGCAAGTTGGCAAAAGCCAAACGAGCTTTTCGAATTCGTGCTGAGATTTCGTCAGATACCAACCCATTAGGGCTGATCAGACTTCCAAGATAAGTGAAGTTGTCAACGCGTTCGACTACTTCACTCCCTATCCTTAGTTCAGGTGTTGACGCAGACCAGTCCTGAAGCAACAACTTGCATTTAGATTGAGAGAAGTGCATTCCAAACATCCTG